GGTAAGAAGGTACTTCAGGGAAGACTGCAAAGGGACAACAGTAATTGAAATGGATCTTGAAGATTCCATGTTGTTTAGGTAAGCAAAGCTGGGAGAAAAGAAATTCCAAGTAACTTTGTGCAAAAGCAATGATGGAAGATTTCACATATACTTAGGCATATAGCATGGACTCTAATCTGGCTCGCGTGAGAGCATATGAGCGCAAGTTAATTCTTTTGAGTACGGAAAAATCTACTCACATCAGAGGTCTAGGAAGATTACTTGCCATCTGTGTGTTGGGTGGATTGGGGCAAGCAGAGATTAAAGGCAGGGATAAAAGGGCACGGTATAATAAATGACTAAACTCGGGCAGTGAGAGTGGGAACCGAGGGGGAGGACTATGAACGCTCTTGTGGAGATAGAACTGGGAAGGCTTGGTGATAATTGGATGTGGGAGACTCATATCTTTCCCTCCTGCTTTAAATTCTATGAAGCCATGAACTATATTAAAGTTTGGAGCCTGGATGACTGGGAGGATGTTGATGGCATCAGCAAAGAGAAGGAAGACAGCAGGACAAGCTGGTTTAAGAGGGAAGATTAAGTGCTTGGATTTGGCCTAATTGGGCTTCAAATAATAGCGTTGAACTAGATCTGGGCCTTTGGAAATAAAGTTCTGGAGCTCAGCAAAGAGATTAGAATTAGAGGCACAGTTTTGGAGCTGATCAGACTAGAAGCGACAGTTGAGATCACCTAGGAACAGACTATCAAGGTCAGGTGCATACTTACATCTAGAAGGCCTGAGAAGAAAGATGTGATAATTAGGGGTATTTTGGGAGTTTGGAAAAAAGATTCCGTAAATTCCCCTTGGAATTCTTTCCTTGGTTAATAAGTGATTTTTGTTTTTTTTTTAAAGATTTTATTTTTCCTTTTTCTCCCCAAAGCCCCCCGGTACATAGTTGTGTATTTTTAGTCGTGGGTCCTTCTAGTTGTGGCATGTGGGATGCCGCCTCAGCACGGCTTGATGAGCAGTGCCATGTCCGTGCCCAGGATCTGAACCGGCGAAGCTCTGGGCCGCCTCAGCGGAGCGCACGAACTTAACCACTCGGCCACCGGGCCAGCCCCAAGTGATGTGTTTTTAATATTCTAGAATTTCTTCTGTTGCACCTTCAGTCCACATCCTTCATTTATTCCTTATAGAATAAATGGCTGGTACTTATTCTAAGGTGACTGGAACTAAAGGATTCATAGGAGACATGTCTGGGGCCTAGCAAGTGGATCTCCAAGGCTGGACACTGTCCATGTATTAACTTGTTTCTCTCTTATAACATCCCTTCAGGTTAGGTACGCCTTTCCTTATATTAGTGACTTAAAAAACATCAGACTGAGTTTCAGAGAGTTTAAATGACTGGTGAAAGGTCTCACATTGCAAATGAGTGAACCTGGGGATGCAAATCCAGGTCTGGTTCTAAATCCAGTGCTTTCCCCTAATCTCTGCCACTCCTTTGTTGATGATCATTTATGAGATAGCCCCGTGGTCTTCTCTTAACTTAGTTTAGAGATTGCTATAGGATTAGGCTTGAGTCTGTTTGCTCTTTGACAGACCTAAATAAAGATCCAAACAGAGAAGAAAGTACAAAAGAGTTGTAAAAGCACTAACCCATTTTTTTTCTTTGTCAGGGATACTTTACCTGGAGATTATTGAGTTATTTAGAAACAGTTGAATGTGGGGGTTACTACATCCTCCATGTTCAACACAAAGTCCTTGTTGAACCCTTTTTCTTTTTTGAATATCACCACCCCTGGGCACAAGGGATCATTCAACTTTGTATTTCCCTACTTTTTTTTTTTTGCTGAGGAAGATTCACTCTGAGCTAATATCTGTGCTAATCTTCCTCTAGTTTTTAGTATGTGGGCCTCCAGCACAGCATAGACGCTAACAGAGCAGTGTAGATCCATGCCCAGGAGCCAAACCTGGGCCACTGAGGAAGAACATGCTGAACTTAACCACTAAGCCACCAGGGTTGCCCCCTCCTTTTGATTGGGGGCGGCCAACCCTCTCTGATATAGCGAGTCTAACACTGCATGGGGATTAGGTTCTAGTATGCATTCAATAAGGTTAAAAGTGAATCCATTGAGCTCAAATTGTCCTGGAAAATGTCTTAAATTTTCCATAAAGTATAATACAAATGAATTTTGATTGTTTAACTTGGGGGGGATGTTTGTACACATATATGTAATGGGAGCAAGTATTATATGGAAATATGGAAAAGATAAAACTTTGCAGTATTTTTCATTTTGAGAGATAGAATGGAAGTTTTTTTGGAGTTTGTAGAGTAGACTTCCCTCTACACTTTATGACAGAAAGCATCATTGCCTTCTGCTAATTCTCCTACTCAAGTCCCAGGGACTGAGAAAATTTGTGACTTTCCCTTCCTCTAGAGAAGATTTAGTAAGATATAGGAGAGAAATTCTGCAAAGAGTTGGCATATGGTTTTCATAATGATTACAATAAGAGACTGTGTTAATCGCAGTGATGGAGTTGGCTGGCTAGGGCTTTCAAGTCAATCTCAAAGTCACTGTCTCTGGGGACGGTTAGAAATTCTCCCTCTTCTTCAAGTTTGTAAAAAACACTTCCTACCAGCAAAGATATGGAATATATCAAGTTTGGATTACTCAACTTCCTTTAATATCTTTTAACCATGACTTTCGTGAAGCGTAGTGCCGCTGGCACAGTAACAATCTTGGCTGATGATGACCTTCTTCATTTGGAAAAAGCATTTTTGGTGGCTGGGCGGAGGGAAGTTTCGGGAGCATTTCCCTGTAGTAATGAGGGAGAATTTGGGGCCCTCCTCTCAACATTGGAGGGAAATGGGAGCACAGACATAGCCAGATTGTTCTCATATTCTTCTCCGGATGTTAATTGCCCCAATTCCTCTTTCACTCCACTTCTAGTTTCCCTTCAAGCTCTTTGTCTTTATATCACCTTCTCTCTTTGTTGCTAACATTGAAAGAATCCTTACACAGGAAGATCATTGGATCTAGAAGTCACTGCCAAGCATGCTATAGAATTTACTCATTAATTTATTCAGGTCTGTCGCCCCATCTCTCTCTCTCCCTTTACAGTGTTTTATTTCTCCTCATAAAATTTACCACTTGCTACCTGATTTTTTAAAAATGACATCTTTATTGAGATATAATTCACATCCCACAATTCACCTATTTAAACAGCTTAATTCAATGGTTTTTTGGTGTATTCACTGAGTTGTGCAATGATCACCACAGTCTAATTTCAGAACATTTTAATCACCCCAAAAAGAGAACCTGTACTCACTAGCAGGGACTTTCCATTCCCCGACCCCTAGATTTGCAACAACCATCTAATTTCTTCTATAGACCTTTCTACTTTGGACATTTCAGATCAATGGAATCATACGATATATGGTCATTTGTGACTGGCTTCTTTCATTTTGTGTAATGTTTTCAAGGTTCATTCATGTTGTGGCTTGTCTCAGTAGTTTATTTCTCTTTATTGCCAAGTAATATTCCATAGTATTAATATATCATGTTTTATTTATCCATCCATCAGTTGATGGACATGTTGCTACCTGATTTAATGTTTATTTTCTGTTTCCCACACTAAAATATAAGCTCCATGAGTGTAAGAATGTTTTTGTTCTTGTTTACCATTTAATCCTTACTATCTTGCCTGGTGCCTGGCAAGTAGTGAGAGCTCAGTAAATTTGTCAAACGAACAATTCAAACATTCATCCACCTAACCAACATTTGTTAATTGTCCCCACATGCACATTTGTGTTCAACACTCTCTCTCTTCCAAGGCAGGCCACTGAGCCTGGGAGGTGGATATAACAAAGGATCTGCCCTCAAGAATCTCATAATCTAATGAAGTAACAGCTGTGCAAACAAAGTAAAATTAAGAAAATTCATTTAATAAAGGCTATGGACAAAGCACAGGGCATAGACAAAGGGCTCAATTCTGCTTAAGGAAGTTAGCAATGACTTCATAGCAAAGACTTCACAGCAAAGACTTCAGTTGAGATTTGCAAAAATTAGAGGTTGTCAGATTGACAGCGAGCTGGCTGGGGTCAACCAGAAGCACACTTAAGTCAAGTCGTGGAGTCTGACCTAAGCACTGGACGTGGAAAAGTAGCGGTATCAGAATCTTTTTGTACAAGTGGAGAGGGGACCCAAGGAGGATGAACTGAGCTGGCAGGCAATGTTTAAATCAGAAAGAATTTTATATCCTCAATCAAAAGATTAAGATTATTTCTCTAGATACATAAGAAACTGGCAAAAATGGTGGTATCTGAGGGTCAAATGTGGGACTGGAGGTAGGGGCAGGACAAACAGATTGGCAAACTTTTAAAAGTCAGGCACATGTTCTTTACCACACAAAAACTACATTTAAAATTTTCTGCTTTAGATGGGGATGCACCGTATAATTTTGAGCAGGAGCGGGTGGGAAAGTAACTTTGGACATAGCGGGAAGTGAGGTGGCCTAGAGTCTAGGGGCAGGCAGCCAGCTAAGGAGGGAATGGCAATCGTGATCTATGATCTGTTCCTTTCCTCCTCTTCCTTATCATTCCCACATCTAGGATACACGATATCCCCATACTCAGATTCACATTCACAGGCACTAACCCGGGACTAACATGTGGTGACCTGTTTGAAACACTGCACCCCCACCAGGAGTGAGCGGTGTGTGAGGCTCGGAGTTGGCTCTGAATCTTCGTGCTGGGAGAGACTCTACCCTCTGGGGGAGTCTGGGGGGAAACAGTCTTACGACTCTTCCTGCTGATGCAATCTGCAGGGGAGCCAGCGATCTCCGCTGCCAGAGGGCCAGTCTGCAATCCTGCCTTCCACGTGTGACCGCCGCCGCCTCAGCCACTTCCCCAGACATTCCCGCAGCCGCGCACCCGGCACGGAGGGGCCAGGACGCATCGGGTTTGCCCTCGGGTCGGCTCAAGCTGTGCTCCCGGCCCAACAGAACAATGAAGGTAACTGCTCATGATTCTGACTGTATCTTACAAAAATGTGTGTATGGAGTGAACCGATGATTCCTCAAAGACAGTGGGCAGAAAGGGGACGGAGGAAGGACCAGCAGGCTTTGTGACCATTCTTTTCTTTTCAGTCTTCTGTTTAACCTCCGCGGACAGGATGTGCCTCCTCGGGCTTTTTCACAGCTGCATTTGTGAACGGAGATAAAAGCTGCTCGCAGCTCCCTCCCCTGCCTGTTTTGAGGTCTGGAAAGGAAGAGGAAGCTTTTGTCAATTTCTTAGATGCGCAGGAGGTGGGGGATTTTGGAGAAGGGGCATGGGGGTGTCCCCGGCTGTAAACATGGGTTTTCTGCTGGGTGCCTGTGGTGTAAGCGGGAGGTGCGGACTAGGTGAGGAGGGTGGGAGAGGGAAGGAAAAACTGTCTCATCGCTGTCAAAAGCAGAAGGCGCATCTTATTTTGTTTCTTGTGGAAATTAAAGCTGCTAGGAGTAACAGATCATATAAGCCCAAGGGCATTGTTTCATTAAAGTAAGCACCCTAATGACTTTTATTTATGCTGATCAAGGATAATTAGCCTAGTTGCCTATTATTTCTGAAGTTTTAGGTCTAGAAATGAACACTGTTAAATGTTCTGTGTTCCTGGTCTCACACATTGGAAATTGTAATCACATTCAAACCTGAAGAGTAGCTTTTGAAAAGGAAAGTGAAGGATGGGCAAGCAGTCCCGCCATCTAACGGCTTGGAAGTGAGAGATTCCTATATGCAGTCGGAACTCAGGAGAAGTGAAGCCATGATTCAGAGTTTCCGAGGAGGGAGACAAAGCGTGTTGGCAACTGAGCTTCTCCACAACCCATCCCAGTTTCATCTACAAGAAATAATATGTAAATGGTGCCTCTTTCATCAACCAAAAATTTCCACTAAGATGAAGCAGAAACTGAGTGGAAACTCTGTTTTGTACTGAAAAGAAATTGGGTAACTGTGCCACAGTGAAAAATTTAGCAACCTTTTTCTTCTATAGTCAGATGTTCCATGTCTGGCTTGCTCATGCCTGTCTAATTTGAGTCTAGCGTTAGAGAGTAAAAGGAGAAAATTATGAGAATAAACAGTTTTGCTTTTCCAGTTTTTTCCTGTCCTATGCGCAATTGTAGTTGATGATGCATTTTTGTAAGTTCACGGTGCTTTGAGTCCAAAAACTCCTGTCCGTTCTACAAGGTACTATTATAATGCAGGAAACTAGGGGATATCTTTAAGTAGTCTCATTCCTGTTTCCTGATATTTTACTAAGATCCGGAAAGAAATGATTGTATTCTAGGCATGATCTAAGGAGTACATGAGGTTCCTTTGTTTTTACTATTTAGAAAAATTTTCTACTTACCTTTTACCTAAGTATTGCTATCATGATCATTATTATTATTATTTTTTAAAAAGTTATTGCCATATGGCACCATGATAGGCTCAGTCTTCAGTAAATTTTCTAGACATGGTCTTGCCTGGGAGCTTATATTTTAAGTTGGACACATATGGAATAGGCAACTGAATAAGAAAAATAGCATATACATTGAATAGTATGGGTATAAAAATGGTAAGGACATATTATGATTTACTGAATTAAGGTAGAGATTTAAAAGAGGCACATGTCAGAAAGGACAGAGACAAAAGAAGTTATTGTTGGAGACGCACTGTTAAGTGAAGGAAGGGAGAGGGCTGTTTGTGTGTGTTCAAGAGGCAAGACATGAGGCCTGGCAAGGAGAGGAGGTTTACATTCTGGACGCAGGATGTGGCCCCCAGGCCAGGCTCAGAGATGCATAGCTAGTCAAGCAGGCCTAACAAAAGGCCATTGGTGGAATCTATGGTGATGAGAAAAAAGGAAATAGGGAGAAAAAAAAAGATAAAAATTTAACTTGGCCAATATTTCATTTGTCAGTTTCCATAATAAATAACTTCATTTGGTTTAGAACTACAGAGAGAAAGAAACAAGAGTCAAGAAAATTTTCCATTTGTATGGAAATTTCTGTTGCGCATTGAACCTGAGAAGGTCTAATTATTGGAAATGGGCTTAAAACCTTGTGAAAGAAAGTTGAAAATAGTCATTTGATTATTACAGAGGCTTGTGCTAAGAATTAAAATCAAGTTATGATTTCCTTCAGTTTTCCTTCAGGTTTCCAACTGTTTTCATAAATTTAGATTTTATCCCAGTTCAGGTCAAGATGTTTAGCTCTGCAGGGGAGGAAAAATAATTTTCCCTCTACCCTTCTAGGTTCTTGGCTGAGCCCTCCCATAATAAAATACAGATTAACAGGAGAAAAACAAACACAAGCTTAATAACATATATTCCTCTTGTAAACTTGGGAGATACCCAGCATAACTGAGTAACTCCCCAAAATGGCCTGAGCAACCACCTTAAATATCATTTTCAGCTAAAGACAAAAGACAGATTTTGGCAGGGGGCTGATTATAGGAGGTTATCAGGCAAAGCACAGTAACCAAGGGTAAGGTTGCAGATTTCAGTCAGCAGTGCCTTCTCTGTTGGCAAGAGATTCTAGAGATTTTGTTATCCCTCTTTTTCTGGTACAGAGAGGGAGACACCCTTACAAATGGAGATTTCCCTCATAAATGTAAATTTTACTCAGAAAAGGGCAACTTCTACTCTGTTTTCAAAGATTCTTCTGTGTCTTCTCCCTCTTAGAAATAATCAGCCCAAAATAATCCTTATGCCATAAAGCCATAGTTTGGGGGTGACATATTCTGTTCCCCTTCAGTTCTTTATTTCTAATATTAAGATATAGACCAGAGAAGTGAGCAGCTGGATAGTAGTGTTACTAACCTGAGAGATCTGGGTGTACGAGTAAACTGTTTCTGTGTGTAAATGAAGAATTGTTTCTAAACAGTGGCCATCTAGAGTGTTTCGGTTGGTTCTACTTTTTGGGGTTTCAGGTTGTCTGCTTATTTGAATGGCCTCTTCTCAATGGGTGTAGGAAGATGGAAATGGAGAGCTTTCTTTATTTCCCTTTAGGTTAGGCAACCACTGTTCATCTAAATAACAGATGCCACCTAGGGAAACCCAGTGGAATGTTCAACCTTATGCCCAAGGGGATTTGGTTACCATTTTAGATTGGGAATCTGGTACTTTCCACAACAGACATCATTATCCCAGGCATCCTCTACTTTCTATATGATAGAGAAAGACAAATCCTCTGCCCTCTGGGTTCTTCTGGCTGGGCTACTAATTAAATTGACATGAGACAGAATAACAGGAGAAAATCAAACAAAGCTTTATAACATGTGTACATGGGAGACACTCAGGAAAACTGAGTAACTCGCCAAAATGGTGGAGGCTTTCATCTTAAATATCATCTTCAGCTAAAAGCAAAGGAGGATATTGGGGGTGGAGGGAGTCAGTTATGGGAGATTACCAGAAAAGCACAGTAAACAAGAGTAAGGTTATTATACAGATTTAAGACCTTGCCATCCGCACTGATAAGAGTTTCTAGAGATAAGGTCAGCCCACCCTCTTCCTGGTAGAGAGAGGGACAAACCTTTACAGATGGAGACTTCCCTTACAAATGTAAATATCTCTTACAAAGGATAAATTCTACTTTTCAGAGCTTCTCTCATGTCTGCAGTTTTTAAAAATAACCAGCCCCAAGTAATCCTCATGCCAAAGAGACACATTTTGGGGTAGCCAATTCTGATCCCCCACAGTATTATCATTCTTATGAGCACAGAAGGAAACTATGGATGGTCTGCTCACTTTACAGTCGTAAATGTGGGCAGTCTTTGCGTTGTAACTTTATCCCCTGAACAGCTGTCCAAATGCTCTAAATATTTCACATAACATACGGTCAACATTCCTATTGATGGGCGTTCCTGAGCCTCTGCAGCCCGTTTGGTAATACATGTCAGTGCGCATGCAACTAAGGCCACTGAAATTGGATTCCCTATAGATCAACTGAGACATGAATGTCAGGTGCAACTCACATTTTTAAAATGTTTCCAAATTAAGCATTTGGGATGCTCTGATTCATAAATACAACTTTGCAAATATTTGCAAACGTTTTTATAATAAGATCTATGAACCACAACATCAGTGGTGAATGCCAAACCAAGGCGGAATTGGTCTTTACTATACCACCCGAGTTCAAGTGTGCTTCTAATTACTCCCCTCAAATCCACAAGCTAAACAATATTACCTCTAGAAAACCAGTACTTATATCCTTAAAATAATTTGGAAATTAGATCATCTTATTAATTCAGCGCAGCACATCACATAAACATTTTTCTAGTGTCATATAGGCCATGCCTTTTTTGGGGTAAAAACCTATTTTGAGAAACATTTTTCTTGTGTTCAGTGATTAATGGGAGAAAGAAAAATCTTAAAGAAAGAGATAATCATGCTCCAAAAATATAGGAAACAAGTCAAGAAGAAAGGAAAAAGGAAGATAAATTTTAAAAAAATAGAGGAAATTATACCACAATGAACAGTAATCCAGAGGTGTCACACTGAAAAACACATGATTCTTTCTGATTTAAAAATTGTGAAATACTTGTAAAGTTAACTAGTTCCATTAACAATAGTCCTATATTTCATCTAAAAAGAACCAATTCATTAGTTCTTTATTTTGATATGATCTGAATATTTGATCAGTTGCATTTACAGTCTACTCTTTAGTTTGAGAAATGTTTTTGCTATTTTGAGCATAGATGGTTATCTGTCTTAGGAAGCCTTAAGAAACCTAGGATGTAACTAGAGAGCTCAAATTCTGACTCCTTATAAATCTAGACAGAAGGAACACCTGTTGGGATATTCTAGGCCAAACATGCCACAGATGTCTCCTACGTGACCAACAAAGACCTCAACGCAGTTTGGACACATCCTGGCATGAGGTCAAGGAGGTATTCGCACAGTTGATCACCCAGCAGTTAGCATCCACCACTACATTAAAGGGTGATTTTGCCAAGTACATTTCATTTTAGCTGATTCGGATTCAAAGTTATATTGTTTTGATTTTAGTACCAAATATCAGTTCAGGAATCTGAAATCACCGTAAATGTTTCTTTGAACTTTGAAGATAAAAGGTAGAGTTAAATGGAACTATAAAATCTACATGGGGAACACATTACTCAGGGATTCCATGGTTTTCGATGTTGGTGAATGTTCTGTATCGTACTTGCAAGGTTAGCACTGGTGTTTATGAAAGAAACACATCCAGACTTGAGGAAGGACTTCTTTGCTTAACTAACATAAT